TTCTGCCCTAGAGTCCATCTCACTCCAGAAACTCCCACAAAGTGGCTGTGCCACTTTACAGGACCTGCTTTTAACTCCTCCCAAGTTAATTCTGATCACACACTTCATTATAATCTGGTATATAATCTGAATATATAAACATCTCCTTTACTGAATCTGAATATATAAACATCTGCTTTACTGAAACTGTACAGAGTATCAATAGGAAGGGAGAGCTGAAAAGATTTGGGCTCTCTTTCCAGTTCTGTCCCTGAGTCAGGACAATGACCTTGAGCCAAAATCTTCAAGTCCATATTTAGACACCAAAATAAATAACCCGATTTTCAAAGGCACCAGCCAACCACAGCTTCTATCAACAAAACCCTAATCACCAATAGACTCCAACAATTACTGTACATAAAGTATTTTATTCAAACAAGAGATATCCCTCTTGCCAGCTGTTACTGCTTACTTACAGAGAAGAAAGTTCTCCATTGATCCATAGATCACCCATGTGTTTAAGCTCAGCTTGCAGTGACTACATTACTTTCCCTTTTTACACAGATCAGGCCACACACACACTCATGAGGCAATGTCAAACATGCCGAGTACAGCTGGAAGAGATGCGAGGGAATACCTTTATACTCTTTGCATACATTTGAAAGGAAAAAGATGGAACAGAAAGAAAAGAAAGTGATTCAGAGAAAATAAAATCATCACAGAAAAGGAAATATGAGAAAGGATGAATAGGAGGAAGAAATAAACCACTACAGAAAAAGGAATGAAAGAATGGATAGAGAGGGATGAAATGGGAAAGTCAGAAGGTACGGTGATAATATGTCCAACAGGTGATCATATGCTAAGGAACGGCCAGTATTTAGGCAACTCTTCTGCTTCCCTGAAGTGGAGGTGCCAGTGAGGACCCACATACCTGCAGCGTGCCTCGAGCGGCAGTCATGCACTTGGAACTGGTTGGATGCTGCTGCACCCCACCATTCCCAGTCACGCTGTAGTAAAGCCAGGCCCTGGGCGCAGGATCTTCCTCGCTGGGAAAAGCCACACTGCCCTTGGTCATGGCTGTTTGCCGTTGCGATAGCTCTTCACGGCTTCCTGCTTAAGCCACTTTGCATGCTGTCACCAATTCACCCCGGACACTTGCGCCTCACATACCCGGCACCTGACCCCCTGCTTAGGCTCACCAGGATCATCCTGCTGTCATTAGTGGCCCCCCGCGCTCGCCTGCTGCAGCGTGTATCTGCAAAGGAGCCAAGACACTGCTGCAGTGGAAAATGTAACAGGGACCTTCTCAGCTCTTTGCAAAGCCAAAATCTGAATTTAACAGATCAGGCCTATTTCTAAAGGCTGAGACACACAAATCTACAGAGATAATTATTGGTGCAAGCTCCTAGGCAGAACACAGAAGTTAATAAAGTGTAACTCTTAGTTCTGCTGCTTCTTTTGCTTTGAGTTAACCTGAGATTAAAATAAAATCAAAGCTCTTTGAAATCCTCACAGTCTGCACTCTGAATTTTTTTCATTTGTAAATCCAGAAGTGGGAAGGGGGAATTCTTGCCCAAGGGAAAAAAAAATTGCGCATTTTAAAAGTCTTTTAAAAATGATTTAATCCAGATTTCTATTCAAATATATTCTTATCTTTTAAAAATATACTTATTTAAAGTATAACCACCCATATTAAGGCTTAAGCTTTTGACACTTTAAAAATATTGTAAATTTCATTTATAAATGTTCAAGCAGTGTGTTTGATGCTGACATTTTAAGGGAAGTCAAGCCAGTGAACCAGGACGGGTCATCACCAAGGCCTTGGAACCCAGTTCTTAAGTGTAAAAGCTGGGGATCTCACTGGACTCTTTGCAGATAGAGAGTGGATAAAGCAGACCAACACGCTGAATGACTAGTTTGCTCAAAGTTGTCAAACTGAGTAGTATTTGGAAAAAAAAAAAAGGAAAAACTAGTTTTCCTCTTCTGAACTATTCTGATCAAAACCAGGATTTGAGTGGTTGGTTGACAACAATTTACTTTCAGTCCAAGGTTCCAGTAAATCCTGCTGACTTGACCCTCCAATGGTTTAGACTGTAAGATCTCCTGGAGCGTTTTGTGGCTCCTGCACAAGCAATCACCCAGCTTTTTGCTCCAGGGAAAGCAGAACCTAAAGCGAGGATGCTAATGTCTGTCCAGGTCTCACCCCAGTACTGTTGCAACAAGAGTTACTATGTACGGTCAGGACTGCTATGGAGCACAGAGGCTCTTGAGGACACTACAGTTCTTCGCTAAAACAAACGTATATTGTACCCAAGAACAGGAAAACATTACAAGCTGTAAGTGGTTTGATATTTTACACTTGTGACAAATACACCTGCTCCTTGATTCACTTAAATCCAATGGGTCATGTGGCCAGGTGCTGTCCTCTTCAGTGGGAGAGACCAGATTGTGACAGATGGTTTCTCCATCTCCCTCTCTCTCTCAGGGAGCTGCCTTAATTATAGTTAGTGCTATGCCACCTATGCATTAACTCCCTTCAGCTTCTATACACACAGGGTTAACGCATGATAGGCATTAAGATAATATGTATACTGAGAAAACAATGAAGTCATTCATGTTTCAGGTCACCTTGTCCTAGTTTTGTACCAAAGTGCGTCACATAAACAGCGGTCGCATTTTGACAAGCTAATAATAAACCTAAAAATCCTATATATCAGCCAAAGATTCTGCACAGCTGCAACTATCCGCAAAATAGAGGTTTAAAAACCTCACACTGCGCACGGGTGAGTGATGACGAAGTCTGTGCATTGCCCCCTGGTAAGGCATAGGCCTGTCTTAGCCCAGGCAGGCCTACGGCAAGGTTCGGCAGTTGTTGCGGCTGGGTTTGGCAGTGTTTGTAGCTGGGGTATCGGTACAGAAGCCTGGGAGCACTCACACGGACGCCTCTTCAGACATAACCAGGATGATCACAACCAATGACCTCAGTGCACAAAGTAGGGGCAATAATTCACCATTTCATAAATCAAGTTTAAATGCAAAATATGTTGTAATAAGCTTACTTTTTTCTCCCGTACATTTCTCCTGTACTTTTCAGTATTGCTATTTTAGATTGCAGTTACTTGTGCATTTTAATAAAATTCCAGTTTTCATCCAAATATAACTTGACGAAGATCATGAGAAAAATTAATCATGCTCAAGCATCAATACCAATGCCCCATTCACCATTTCCTATCTGACACAAAATATAAAGAAAAGCAAGGCAAAAATCTATCATATATTGCTAGATATATTTGTATAATAAATATTTTGTATAATGGTCAGTTCTCTTGATTAATAGAAATACATTCCAACTTTAATGCAAAGCTATTTCTACCTTGAAAATCAACATATTATCTATGAATGAGAAGCAGCACTACAAAAATGATTAAGAAGTATAGAGAGAAACGAAGTGTAAATTGTTAATTTAAATCAACACTTGCTGCTTGCTTATTTGTATTATGATTAGAGTTCATTTAAATCTGCCTATCTGTCTAGATTTTTCTATTTGTTTGTTTTTATTATACACATATTAATGCTCAGGCCTTTCAAAGGAAGACTCCATAATGGCCAAACTAAGTCCTTTGGTATATTGAGGCTTGTAAACAGATTGCTAGATGAAGGCAAAGATTGAAAGATAGCAAAGGCCCGCCAGGCTAGAAGCCTGAATTAAATCCATTAAGATATATTTGAATAGGCAGATAAGTAAGGAACAGCAAGCTGGGCTGATGAGTTTCTTCAGAGAGAAGAAACCACGGCGAGAGTTGCCACGCATGGCAAAGCATCAGGCCACCTGCTACTCACATCCAGAGACTATTGATGTCCTGTTGGGAGTTCACCCATCAAGGGAAGTCCTGCTGTGATAAATCAAACTAAAGTGACAGCGGAGTTCTTCAGCCATAAGGTCATTTAATAAAGTAAGGGAAGAGTCACACACGTAAGTGTAAATACCCCGCACACTTGTTCAACTTGGTGCTAAGGAGCTGTTGAAGTGGATATGGAGCATGCAAAATACAAGAAAGATGGAAGAATTTTAAATTCTGTTGACCTGCTCCTTAGGTCCTGAGGCTGGATTTCCATCTGCTCTAGCAACATAATTAAACGTTTGGTAACTAATGACACTATGTGGCTTTTGTCACCAAAAGAACAGACAGTGGTAAACAAAACTCTATTTACAAGAGGTAGGGAGGAGGGAAATGTGACTCTGCTGTTGAAATTAGAGATAAACAAAATCACACCACTTAGCTAAAGAGCCTGTCTAGACAGAGGAAGAAAAAAAACAAATGACAAAAGCTTGATGTTATTCTTGTGCGAAAGAGAGGGAAAAATGATTTTGTAGCTGAGCAAAAGTCTTCAGAATGAAGAATGTCAAGACTTCAATGTCAAGATCACTGAATATCACCTATTTATGCTACAGAGTAAGATAGTCTAGCCAGAGCAAGGCTTTCTTAATTTTGAAAAATTAGACAAGAATCAAAAGTACAAACATCTTAGGAAATCACTGAGAAAATCAACAAAATTAATTTTGGTCCTAGAAATGTAAGAGCTGCAAGCATACACTGAGGCTTCACCTACATGGTAGGTCTACTGTGCTGCAGCTACATCAGTAAAATTTAATTTAAAAGAAAGTGATTATAACTATTCCACTTTGAATTCCTGTTTTGAAAGAAACCGTCCACAGGAAGAGTTATTCCAGAAAGGCCAGGATGGAATAATTACTCTACTACACTCATGCCAAACAACTTTACCAACATAGCCGTAAGTAGAAGAGAGTGCGTTTTAAAACTAAAGTAATTAACATCATTCAACAACAGTGGAATTTCTTTATTCCACCAGTGAATCTGAACCACTCTGCTTTGAGCTGAGAACTTTTATGCCATTTTCTAACTAACATAATTGTTACAACCAATTTAAAATCACAGATTATCTACAACGCAGCTGCTAGATAAATTATGAAATTCTATCTTGAAATGTCTCTCACTTACTGCAGATAACTGGGACTTTTCCCGTTTTGTGGGATGGAGTTGGGGAAGGTATATAGCACATGTACGGCCAAACACTGCTCTCCACTGAGCAGGCATGCCTGAAAAGTGAAACAAGGATTTTACAGAGCGAAGCAACTGTGGATTAATAAAAAGGCAGGGAGCAGGAGAGTGGGTATGCATGCAGGGCCCTAAGTAATCACACAGCTTGAATACACAGGGACATACGGAGTTGAAGATGGAGGGGCAGGAGCAGGACTATCAACTGGAGGAGATGCTGGCTTCTTGGCAGCTGGGGTGCTCATTTCTTTTAAACATAAAAGTCAACAGATGACTGAGATCTTGATCAGTGTAACAGGAGATTGAACCTTGCAATGCCCTGATGATTTTGGTTGTTTTCAGAGTGGGTCGCTGTTCTGAAACATCACCGCTGCTTCATCCACGAGACTGGAGGTAGGGTGCAAATCTTTGAAGGCAAGTGGTCTCCCTACCTCCCTCTGAACAGTTACATTTTCATCATTATCATAATCTTCTTCCTCAGACGCCTGCTGCTCATTGAGGTCCATCATGCCAATCAGGGGCAAAGGATGAAGATACAGGAGGAGGATGATGGTTGGCAATGCTGGGTATCAAATGGCTGTTGAGGGAACACTAAAATAAAGGGTAGAGAAGAGGTGGTCAGCAGGGCCTTGCCATACCGCGTTTCTGGCCTGTTGGCTGGAAGCACTTAACCCCCGTAATGGATAGGATGTCCTTATGGAGGGCTGGGAATCAGTCTCATCCCAGCTCTACGACAGACATATTAAGTTAAACTCCCTAGGTCTCAATTTCCAATTTACAACATTAGAATGTTATTTCTCTCTTTATAGGTGTGTGGAGACAAGGGGCTTTGAATATTTCATGGAACATTCATATTACTACTATTACTTAATTTACTTCAGTTACCTGTCTTAGTGTATGGCCTGCTCCACTTATACCTGCACGCTTGCTCAACTTTGCCCAGATTGGGAATTGTGAAATCTCTTGAAATCTCATATATCTTCTTCTTTTTTTGCTATAAAAAGCTCTGTTCGGATCTGGGGTTTTTTTTATGTTAATGGATAATGTGAGTCATAGAGGTACGAAAGGGTTTCCTCCAAACCAGAGCACTGTAGTCCACGCTGCTCTAACACTAAAATTGAGAAATCACCGAGTAGTTAGGAAATCCTGCATTATTCACCAGAGATTTTGTCTTTAGGATCTAGCATAAAAGATAAGCTATGAGCTTCTAAAATAACTGTTGTAAACCATTATAGACATAATTTCAACGATACTGCGTGAAGGGAAAGCTTGGCTCAAGGTGCTTTAGAGGCAGTTCTGGCATAACCCAGGCCTCCGACTCAGCAGCTCTTGCTGACCCCGCCATGTGGGAATAAAACCAGATCGCAGCGCAGCTCCGACTGTCTCCTGCGCTAAAACAAAACCCCGCTGAACAAAACCGGGTGACTGCACCCCCCGACCGCCATGTCATATTGGCAGCAGATGAAAAATGACGGCAACTTTCCCCCGGTTATTGTACTACGGGGTCCTTTCCCTGAGGGAAGGCATTTCAGGGTCTGAAAGAGAAGGCTAGAAAGGCGAGGGGCACCAATACCCCCACGGCACAAGCCATCCGCCTTCGCGGCAGCGTTGCCCCGTGAAGGAGGGAGGGAGGGAGGGAGGCGGAGGACCCA